GTTCTTGGATACTCTAGTAGTTGTATATTGAACAGTTAATTCATAAATAAATTTTTGTCCTTCTCTCTTAGATTAATCTAATAGCACCTCCTCGGTATGTGATGACAACAACCACTCTAGAGAGAACAGAGGGCCTCTCTGTCCTCAACCAAGCTATGGCTGTTATCAAAGAAAAGATTGAAGAAAAGAGGGGGGTTTTCAATGTTCAGATGGAGGTGAGATCAGTACCTTCTTTTTTGCTTTGTTCTCAAATTAAGAAATTGAAATTAGATTCTAAAATAGCTAATAACCACTATTTTTTAGAACCTCATATAGAGTTAGGATTCTAAGCATAAAATAATCATTGGTTGAAAATGCTATTTATCTGTAATTAAGAGCCATTAGTATTTACCTGTTATGTTTATTCCATGGGATGGTTATTTAAGATTAAGTGGTTTTGAGTTTGTTTCCCGTGGAAAATCAGTCTCTCCCTCACACAGCTACTTAGTCACTAGGCCACCAGAGCTCCCTATGGAAAAAAAGAAAATAACTGATGTCAGAATTTGAATGTATGCTTAGAATTAGAAACAAAAATGGTCTTTTCCTTATTTGAAAAAAATTTAGTCTCCTTGTATTGATGTGTATAAAATGATTCCTTATGTGCAAAGAATTAAGTGATTTATTTTGAACCTAGCTATACTTTGTTTTTGGGGGGTTTTTTTTGTTTATATGTTTGTGTTAGACAGAATGAATGTCTATTATTTGTGGACTTGCTTTAAGTATTACTATATAGCTAATGAGCTTGTTTTCATGCCAGGAATAGAATTCTATTTTCATAGACACAAATGTATCTCTTTTTTTTCCCCCTATGTTGTCTTGTTTGAAAGAATTTCTAATTCTTAATGTTATGTCAGCACTCAGAAATGAACAAATAAGACAGAGGCTTTCGGAAGAAAAGTGTTTCCTTGAGTTAAAAGATAATAGAAAGTTAAGTTTGTGTCTGGTTTTACTGTCTCACTTTGCAATTTTGCCTCTGCTTCTCCAGCCTAAAGTGGTCACAGACACAGATGAGACTGAGCTTGCAAGACAGCTGGAGAGGCTTGAGAGAGAAAATGCAGAAGTAGATGGAGATGACGATGCAGAAGAAATGGAAGCCAAAGCTGAAGATTAACTGTGGGAAGCCAAGTGCAAGTTAAGGAACACAAAGCAGCCTTTCCAGGCTGGACTGTATCAACCCTAGACTTGAAAGTTTTCCAGTATTGAAAACTTCAAAGCTAAATATTTTTTATTTCCAAGTATTTAAATGTTCCAACAGACCAGAATGTGAAATGCCCTCCTTAATGTCAACTGATTTTACACAGTAACTCCAGCATATCAAGCATTTTTTTAAGGGAGTGGCCTAATTTCACTAAAGACTAAAATCTTTACACAAAGAAAGGTCATAAAATCAGGCCTGTGATTTCCTTTTCTCATGTCTCCAGATTGGCACCCTTTATAGTTCAGTGCCTCCATGAGATTGACCAAGGGCACTCAAACAGTCCCAATCTTTATAAAATGTATTCAAGCAAACATTAAATAAATTTCTGGGATATTTAACTATAGGCTTCTTCCTTCTTGTCACTAGTTAAAAGCATTCCAGCTACTAGAAGCATAATTCTATTCACTTAGTGTGTATGTAGACATAAGACAGGTGAACAGCTACCATTTCGTGTACTTTCTGAACATCTCACAATAAGAGAGATTAATTCTGAAAAAATTAGGGACCTCTCCAAAATACTGAAGAGCAACAGTGTCTCTCTGGAGACTAAGGTACACCTGATACAGGCCATGGTTTTTGCAATCACTTGTTATGCATCAGAGAGTTGGACAATGACTAGGGAGGTTAGAAGGAGAATTGACGCCTTTGAGCTGTGGTGCTGGAGAAGAGTATTGAAGGTACTATGGACTGCCAAGAAAACAAACAGATTCATCGTAGAGAGGATTAAACCAGGCTGCTCCTTGGAGGCAAGGATTCTAGGGCTTCATCTGACTTACTTTGGACATGTTGTAAGGAGAGACAGGTCTTTAGAGAGGGACATCATGCTGGGTAGAGTGGAGGGACAGCGCAGGAGGGGAAGACCCTCTATGAGGTGGATTGATTCAGTGACTGGGGTACTCGGGATGGGTTTGTCAGGCAATGAGATTGGCACAGAATAGAGCACGGTTTAGGGTTGTTGTACATAGGGTCGCTATGAGTTACAAACAACTCGACAGCACATAACAACAACAACATAGCTTTCTGCTAGAAAGGATCTCTACAGCAGATCCTATCAAAAGAAGATTTTAAAGAAAATCACTTGAAACCGTGAAAGCTGGCCCTGTGGGGTGGGAACTCAATTACGAGAATAGGTGGTTTGTTTGACTTTTACTACAGCTACCAGTTTGACAGTCTACAGCTTCTAACAGCATTCGTTCTTAAGTGTCAAATTTGTAGGGAAGCCGAGGTAGGTGCATGCAGTTCTTAGCCTTTAACGTAAGAGCAGACTCAGAACTTTTTCAGTGATTTTAAAACTGCATATATAGCAAGTGAAGGTGATTCCTTGTGTAGGGGCACAATCATTTCAAAGTGAGGGCAAATATACATAGTATTAAAGGACAAGTAGTGGTTGCCTTTATGTCAGAATATTTATAACTAGGAATTTGCCTATATTTGAGACCAATGGTAGCATGGTGTGAGGGAGAAGCTATCATAGTGTTCCTCATTGGTATATTATAACTGCTTGCCTGAATTTGTATTTCAGGGTGCTAGAGTGAAAAAAAGAGTTGCTGCTCTTTGGATCTAGTTATTTAATCTTACACCCCAGTTTTTGGTTCACACATAGCCACACTAAGATATCCAGTTCGTGCCACCTGGAGCTTCATTTCTCTTTATAGCAAAACACTCATCTGCTTTAACACAGTTGGCAGCAATTTTTTTAACATGTATTTTATCTTCAAGAGCTAATTATTTTAATGGTGTATGTATAAAATAAAGTCTATAGATTATACAGTGTTTCAAGTTAAAATTACAGTAATCAGAGCAGAGGAAAACAAGTTATTTTGATCTTCACCCAAAAAATGAAGTACCAGGGCTATTTACACCAGTAAAGATAATTATCCCGTAGAGTAACTGTTACAGGGTATGAAACTTACCACACCCTAGGAAATTCAGAATTAGATTTAACTCATTAATAAAGGGACTGCAGAATACAAGAGATGTGTGTTTGCAAAACACAGAAGATAGTCTGCATCCCATAATGAGATCCAGAAATCTAGCTTCAAATACTAGTTTTCAAAGGTGAGCCTTGAGTGCTACCTAGCACTCCACATTGTCATGTAAGGGAGAGCTTGATTGATCAAGCTTGATTAACTTGACACATAATTTTCACTCTTTTGTTCCTAAAGTACAAAAAAAAAAAGTTTAGAAAGAACACAGCATAGAAAATGTTATTAAACTGTAACAGATAACTCCTTAAATGTTTGCTATAAGCAGGAAAATTACTTGTACGTACTTAAGTAACCATGCCTGTAGAAAGATACTAGGCACCTCTGTGGTGAATGATTCTTATACAAGGCTTTTCTTCAGTTCTATAAAAATTTTGCATATATTTGACCCTTTCCAGGAAAAGGTCATTGTTAGTTAGACTGATGCCATGAAATGTAGGTTTTTAATTCATATGCCTGTAAGTATTCAAAAAGCAATAAAGGAATCCTTCAGGGACATTTGACTTTGCTAAAATGGAAAAAAGTGCTTTAAAAGGTGAGATCTCTTACAATGTAAGAAATCAAGTAAAACTTCATTAGCTTAGAATTCCTGCTCGGTTGAGTCAGGTATTCTAAACAAGATTAAAAGGATAAAGTTCAAACTTTTACCTGCCCATTAACACATTGCCACAAATGAGGGCAAAAAGTGTTTCTAAGCACGGTCTTCAATTTAAGTTTGCAGCAACATGTTTAAAGCAACTCTTAAGCGCTTGAAGCTGATAAGAATGCTGGCACTAGTTTGTGCCAGATTACTATATAAACTTAAAAGTAATAAAAATATTCTTTAAAAATATTGTATGCTACAGACTTTCCACTACTTCAGCTTTAGCCAACTGTTGAAATTTCTTAGTACCAGTTTTCTCAGTTAATGTTCCTTTTCAAACCAAAATTTTAATTCCCTGATTTATTTTCCCGCGTATGTCCTCTGTCTCCATTTCAGTTTTAGCAGCTCATGCTCCACAGAGACCTGGTAGTGGGTAATGTGCTGGGCTGCTAATGAAAACATCAGCAGTTTGAATCTACCAGAAGCTCTGCAGGAGAAAGTGGGTTTGGTTTTTCATTTTGCTCATGTTCAGCATTGCCTTCTAAATGTCCATTTTCTTCACAAAAATAACTTTCTTCTGTGTGTAACTACTCCGTGACTTCTTGTATACAGTATAGTACATGTGTAAGCTTATTTGCTTCAAAGCACACATTTATGGATGTGGGACTCAGGTTTTACATTCTCGTGATACTCTCATTTCAGATGTAGTGTGTCTCGGTACTGGTGGTTATTTGAGCTGCTTTCATAACAGTCTACATACCCTCAAGCATAAGAGATCCTTGAAAATTATAAAACTTGTACAGGAATTACAATAGTCAGAAACATTTTATTAATTCCAAAGAGTTAAGCACTTTAAACATCATTTTAGAGAGATGCCATGAGACTAGAATCCTAGTCAATGTTACATGACCAGTGTTAGTGTTACCACAAGGAGGACCTATAGTCCGTGACGATTGTTAAAAACGATGCTGATGAGGTCTAGTGGCTGTTCTAGCCAATCCTTTGAGAAACACAAAGATGCTAAAAGAAATAGCACCACTGCTGTTTGTAACTCAAGTCAACCAGTCTGTCTCCAAAATAGTACAAAGTTTACAACTGCTTGTTAAAGAAAGACCTTGCTGGAAATGTTCACACTCCATTCCCCTCGGGTAGCAGGAAAGAATCCTGGTCTTGTGTCCTCAGGCTCTTGCCAGACTCACGTTAGCCGTTTGATAGCTTCAATCCACTCACAGCGCTCAGCCTTGCTGCTGGCCTGGATGTAATAGTGTGTGTCATCCTTAGTAATCACTTTAAAGAGATTTCCCTGGACATTCCCTTTAACACCTAGACAGGGAAAAAAATAGGACATAGTCCAGTGTGCGTTTAGCTTTCAGTAAACACAAGTGTGGACAGGGTAAAGTCGTTCATAACTAACAAATGACATGGGTACGGAATCCCCACGGCTTTCTGCTGTGCTTCCCCCTCCCTCCCATTTCCTCTCTCTCACTTGAGCCCTAAGCCCCACCTGTGGTATGTCTGGATATTCCTTGGCAGCCCATTTGCCTGCCCCTATGCTAGCCGTAGATTTCTAATTATCCATTCACTTGAAAATCCAGTATGTTTACATTGAAAGCAATCAAAGTAAGTTTGTTTCAACACATAAATAAGAATCCTGATAATCTACACCAAGTGAGGCACAACTGTGCCAGCTTGGAGGAGAACACCATCACTGTTCAACTGCTTCAGTCTCAGTTTATACCAGTTGCTTACCTTAGCTAGCTCTTGTGAAATTAAGAGAGAGTGTAGGTATTAAAGGGAAAGGGAGGCATTGTAAGCCTTAAAGCATTATTGTAAATCTTAGCTCTTAAGCTTGGGTGAAAATTTACAGAACAGCAAGTACAAAAAATAGGAGAGCATATTAAATACATGCCTTTTCTCTAAGGCTCAGAGTGGTTTCAAAGTAAAACATTCATTGTTTGCCTCACTGAGCAAGTCCTACTATGCTCACAAAGCCCAGCCTTCATTTACTGGAGCATCATTGAGAGTAAACACAGGAGGCCAGGATGGAAGTTGTAGCTTACCGGTGGGAACACCATTATCCTCCAGCGCAGACACGAGTGAGCCACGGAGAGAAAATCCACCAACTGGCCTGTTCTCTTCCTGCAGAGGAGCAGATTCTTAATTAGAGATTTTGTGATTACACAAAAGGAACAGTTCACTCTCCCCTCCTCAAACCAAATGATGAGTGGTTGTAAATCATTTATAATTGAACTTGGGCTTCACGTGGCCCAGTATATGTACCAATAAGGAAGTGCAGTTCTCTATCACAGCAACCATTCACTCACTGTCAAGACAGTCAGAACCAACTCAAAGCACCACGGTAGTGGGTTTTCAGACTAAATTGTATGGGAGTAGACTGCCATCTCTCTCCCATAAAGCAGCTAGTGGATTTGAACCGTGTGCCTTTGGTTGGCAGTGCACCTCCTTATCCTCTAGACCACCAGAGCTCCCTTCAGCAGCACACTGCTCACTAGCCGAATAGGAACAAATTTGCTTTTCCTTCCTGAAGATGCCTCTTGTCCACCATTGTCAGACGCCTGGTATCCTCAATTATTCCGTATAGCTCACCAACCAATCTGAAAGGTACTTCAAGTTACTCTTTCTGCAAAACTGATAGGCATTCTTGCACACTGAACCCGGTTCACCTATTTCTGAAGTAAAATGCTGGTGTATATTGTCTGTAAGATGACTCAGTAATTTCACACACCAGCCATTTAAACAGCTCAAATCCAAAAAAGCCCCTCAATTCATTATGCTGTATGTTGGGTCCTGCCCTCTTATGTATCGTAGAGTTGATTCCCACTCAGACCATACAGGACAAGTAGAACTTCACGATAATGTTCCCAAGGCTATCATCTTTAGGAGAGCAGACTGCTACATCTTTCCCCCACAGAGAAGCTTCTCCCGTTGGGAAGTTGGTGGATTTGAACTAATAACCTTTCAGTTAGCCAAACACGGAATCATTTTGACACCAGGGCTCCTTAAAAGGAGCACTGGGTAGGGCAGAACAGAATTGAACAATTGAGAAAGATCCACCACTGTCTGGAAAGCTGAAGGGTATCTTCAGTAGAAAAACTTGAACTTGGTATTAGATGATGTTGAGTTGAGTAGGACTCAGTGGCGCAAAGAGCAACAGATCTGACCCTATCTTGACCCATCCTTACACTTTCTGACACACTTGAGTCCATTTCTGCAGTCAATGTGTCAATCTTATCTCCTCGAGGGCTTCCTTTCTCTTGCTGACCTTCCACCTCAAAGCATGATGTCCCTTTCCAAGAAATAGTCTCTCCTAGCAACATGCCGAAAGTATGTAACACAAAGCTGTCATCCTTGCCTCCAAGAAGCATTCTCTCCAAGACATAACCGCACTCTCTCCAAGACATCTGTTTGGGTTTTGGCATTTGTAAGATATTTTCAGTACTCGTCTCCAACACCACAGCTCAAAAGCATCAATTCTCCTGTCCTCCGTATTTGTTGTCCAATTTTTAGCTGTATAGAAAGGGATTGAAAAAACCATGACCTAAATTAGATGCACCTTAATCTTCAAACTAATATCATTGCTTCCATAATTTTGAGAGGTCCCTGACAGCAGGCTTCCCAATACAATACATCCCCTGATCTCCTGGCTGCTGGTAATAAGTGTATTGATTGTGAGTCCAAGTAAGATGAACAACTTAATCTACAACTTCAATTTTTTTTTCTCTATCTAACGTCATTTCTTGATCTAGGTGTTAGGGGTTTTGTATTCTGGATGTTGAAATAGAATCCTTTTTTTTTTTTTTAAGTGTGAGGAAAACTTTTTTTTTTATTTCAGGGTTTCCATTTATTCATTGTTGCACTTTCCTTCCTGCCCACCGCCCCTCCATTCTTCTCTGAAAAGTAAAAGAAAAATTCTTTCATTTGAAGATTGTAGTATTCTACCTTCTGCAGCAAGCATTTCAAGTCCTCACTTTCAGCAAGCAAGGTTGTGTCTATGCATAATGCAGGCTGTTGATGAGTCTTCCTCTAGTCCTGATGCCACGTTCTTCATAGAGTTCACCTTCTTAAATGGTTTGATCAGTGTACAGTTTGAATAAGTATAGAGACAACAGCTTCATGGTGTAGGTCTAGTAAAAGCATAACTAAGTGTTCTGGGATTCCTATTCTCCGTAATGTTATGATCCACACACTCAAATGAGCAAATCTGAGGGGTAGTGGTAGGGCACTCAATGCAAGGAGGAGGAAGAGTCAGGGCAAAGGCCGGGAGCAAACCCAGCCCATGATGCCATTAGGACAGAGATTAAGGCGTTACCAAGGACACACGGAAAGGCTAAGCTGGACTGAGAATTAAAAGCTCATTTATTTGTCTTCTAAAAGGGCAGTGAGGTTGCCATAAAGGAGTTTGAAATCTATCCTGCAACCAAACCACCACAACCTTACTGGGCAGAGAGCAGCCAGCCAGTGTTATGTGGAGGCCCAGGTGTCTGACCCCATCCTGCCCTATCCCTCCAAGCCCTCAGGTCTTCTGTGGTCTGGCCATGTCCAGTGGGGCTCAAGGGAGCCACCCATCATGCTCTTTTGCAACCCTCCCCCATTCTGGTTGATGGGCATGCTGTTTTCACTATTTCTAAAACTAATGAAAATTATTTATGTACCAAGACAAGCCTGAACAGTCCGACTAAAAGGACAGTCAGTTTCTTCCCTCTTGACTGGAATTAGATCATCTCAGCATGCTAATAATACTTGGAAACATGGAAGTACAATTCTTTGATTTTTTTTTCAAACCAAGAAAATGTGTTATGGCTTAAATACTGTACAGTAAAAGAAATTTCAACACATAGATGAGGACAAGAAGTGGAGGAGGCAGAATTAATGAGGTCTTTGGATAGACCAGGAGCTCTGACAGTGCAGCGATTAAAGGACTCAGCTGTGAAATGATTGACAGTTTGAACCCCTGGCTGCAGCAGAAAGACGGGGCAGCTGCTTCAGTAAACATTACAGTCTTAAAAGCCTTGTGGGCAATTCTGCTGTGGTTCTATAGGGTCACTGTAAGTCAGGATCACCTTGGTGGCAGTAGATTTTAGACAGAAAAGGGAAAAGAGACTGGGAAGCAGCAGCTAAGAGTCTTGTTATCAGCCCACCTCACAGGAGTCTTGGTGGTATAGTGGGTTATGTACTTGGGCTGCTAATGCAATGGTCAATGGTTTGAATCCACTAGCTACACTCTAGGAAGGAGGAGCTCTGGTTCCATTTAGGTTTACAGCCTTAGGAGTCTGAATCTATTTGATGGTTAACCCAGTAAATTCTAGGTCATCCTTTGGGGGAACTGAAGATGCCTTTCCTATCAAGATAATGAAGGTCCCTCCCATAGGCAGTGGACTAGTGATCATAGGCAAACCACTGAGTGGGGCTTCATGTGATAAAAGATCCTGGGTGGCTTAGACTGAAAGAGGAAAGGCATGTTGCAGGGGAGTTAGGACAGCTGCTGAGAGAAGGAAAGAAAGTTCAACCAGCTGCCCGTCTTATGAGGAAAGAAGCATCTGGAAGAATGACCACAGGTCCTGAGACTCACCTTGGAAGGGTCATAGTAATGTAGGAAAGCTGGATCTTTCCTCAGGACAAAGCGCCGGACTTTCCAGTTTTTCCTCTTGTGTCCCTGAAATTAAAAAAAGAAGAAGCCCTTCAAGGTTATTGGCAGCATCTTGAAGCCCCTTCCTCTTGTTTCTATGCATCTAATGCCAAACCTCCAATAAACCAGCCCACCCAGCATCCCAGCAGGCTTGCGTCCTAAAAGCTCTGTGTGCTGTTGAGTTTGTTCCTGACTAATAGTGACTTTACCAGACAGAGTAGATTTGCCTCAGCCTCACAGAGTTTCCAAAGCTGTGATCTTGACAGGAACCAGTGGACACATTGTTCTCCCGTGGAATGGCTACGGCGTTTAAATCACTGAACTTTCCATTAGCATACCTGTGCTTAAATTCTGCACCACCAGGGCTCCTTAATTTTTTTATTATTATTATTTTGTGTGCATGTACTGGCAAATCAGATCTGACTGGTACAGGAAGAGATTGTCCCTCCTTCTCCAGCAGAGCATCTGGTGGATTCACACCACGCACCTCTGGGATTGCAGTGCAGCTTCTTGCAGGGCTCTTTAATCTTAAAAGGCATCTGCAAGAACTCCAAGAATTACAATTGCACAGCACAGACTAGCCTAGCATCCCCTTCTCAGGGAAGCTGTTGTTGTGTGCTATCAAGTTAGAACCAACTCATAGCTGACCCACCAGTGGGTTTTCAGGGCCTGTAAGTCACACAGAAGGAAGATGCCCATCACACAGAAGGAAAATGCCCACCACACAGAAGGCAAATGCCCATCTTTTCTGCCTTAGAGCAGCTGGTAGGTTCAAAGTGCCAGCATTTGGGTTGGTAGCGCAACTCTTTATCTGATAGGCCACCAGATAGGTACTTTAGCAAAACATTGGCACAGATAAACTTGACCCCAAGAACTCCAGTCTTACAAGCTTGACTTAGTCCTAAAGCAAGCCTATAGCTCTGTGTGTGTGTGTGTGAACACATGTACAACAAAACTGCTTAACATCATCCTCTAAGGACTGACAATGATCGATAGAGTATGTTGCAATCTAAAGGTACAAGAAGGCATTATTAGCGTGTGCGCAAGTGAGAGATTGTTGGTGCTCCAGACTGAGGTGCTAATCTCTCACGTGGCCCCTATACATTCTGCCAGGCACCCTTTGCCCTCATTAGGATTCTTGTCAGGCCAGCAGGACACTGGGGTAGACAAGCAGCTGTATGGATAGAAGCTAATCTGAGAACAGATGGGGATCCCGATCTCAAGAAGCAGGTGACAGCTAAGCACTGCTCTACATGGCAATGGGAAAGGCGCAGAGTTACGCCCATGTCTGTTGTGCAGAAGTGCGTGTTCACACAGCACACACATGTGCTCAAACACAAGGGTCTGCAAGAGGCCCAGCTGCCCATTCACGTGCCAGGACTCGGTGACAGTACACACGTTGTCATTAGCTGCCAGAGTCAGCCCTCCTCAACTCACTGCGAGACCATATGTTATGAACTAAGCAGCTTCGTAAAATGTTTGGCTAAAAATGTTAAGGAAGCAGTTTACCAGACATTGCTTTTGCCCATACAGCAGTTGGGTAGGTTTGAACCACTGCCGTTTGGGTTAGCAGCAACTATAGACTGCTTGTGCCACATTAGGCACATGTGTAAATGCTGCAGGTGTGGCTGTGTCGAGGTGTGCTTCCCACTTAACACAATGTGTTCCCAAATGAGGATTTGCAGCGCTGGCATGGTCTCTTTTAAAACATTGAGCACACCCTGCAGAATTCCACAGTCTACAGAGAAGAGAACAGATTATCTGGGAGGCTGGGCTCTATGAAGAGAAATGTGGGGTCAAGATTGGTGGATGATTTATCAACAATCTGCGTTATGCAGATGACACAACCCTGCTGGCTGAAACTGAAGAGGACCTGAAGCACCTGCTGCAGAGTGTCAAGGACTGCAGCCTCCAATATGGATTGAGGCTCAATGTCAAGAAGACAAAGATTCTCACCACTGGACCAATTGACAGCATCAGGATGGATGGTGAAGAGATTGACATTGTACACAGCTTTAGTTTGCTTGGCTCCACAGTCAACACTCTTGGCACCAGCAGCCAGGAAATTAAAAGGCGCATTGCCATGGGAAAGTCTGCTGTTAGGGACCTCTCCAAAGTACTGAAGAGCAGTGGTGTCTCTCTGGAGACTAAGGTGCGTTTGATACAGGCCATGGTCTTCGCAATCACTTGTTATGCATCAGAGAGTTGGACAATGACCAAAGAGGATAGAAGGAGAATTGATGCCTTTGAGCTGTGGTGCTGGAGAAGAGTGTTGAGAATACCATGGACTGCTAGGAAAACAAACAGATTTGTCCTGGAAAGGGTTAAACTGGGTGGCTCCTTGGAGGCAAGGATTCTGAGGCTCCGTCTAACATACTTTGGACATGTTGTGAGGAGAGACCGGTCCTCGGAGAAGGACATCATACTTTGGAGGGTGGAGGGACGGCACAGGAGGGGAAGGCCCTCTATGAGGTGGATTGATTCAGTGACTGGGATAATTGGATGGGAGTGTCGGAGGCGATCTATTGGCACAGGGCAGAGCAGAGTTTAGGGCTGTTGTACAAAGGGTCGCTGTGAGTCGCAAGCGACTCGATGGCACATAACAGCAACAACAACACACAGAAGAATTCTTTCTGCTTTGGCTCAGTTTGATAAGAAGGTATGACGTTCCATAAGACGCTCCTCCTTCCAGAGACTTGCCTTCCAGTAAGCCTTGGGGCCAACAGAAGTAAAATCTCACATGAGTCGGCAGTGCTCTTCAAGTTAAGTATTTGAAACTGACAGCTATGTACCAGATGCTCACGCTGTGTCCACTTGTGTACACGACATCACGTGCGTGTTCATCTTTCCTAGACGGGCCTGGTGGCTGGAACCCAGGAGACAGAAGTGTGGGCACATATAGGTTCTCACACTGGCTCCCTGGGGCTGGGCTTCTGCCTTCGCGTGTTCTGCCAAGTGGGCTCTGCACTCTAGAAAGCCTCCATCCTTCTCCCCTTCCTGACTCCCTAGGATTTGTCCACCCTGTCCCTGCTCATGGGGCAGCCATACCTGCTTGGCCAGATAGCCTTGCTTTACCACAGTGCCACTTAACTCCACAGTGCTGAGGCTGATTTCTTCCTTGGGATTTATCTTCTTCTTGTAGCTCTCAGCCTGGTGGCAGAGAGAGCAAAAAACTCAGAGAAAGACCCAAGTCCAAGCCACGGGCCTCCTGAAGCAGGGAAAGTGAAGTTACTCAACAGAGAAACTGCTTCCCACCTCGGGATGGCGCTGTGCCCCAAATTCTAGACTTCTGTTATGGGTTGGATTTTGTTTTCCCCACAAATATGTGCTGTAAACCCTCACCCCTATACCTGTAATAATACTCCTGTAGAGGAAAAGGGTTTCTTTGTCATGGTCAGAGGTCCTATCAGCCCAGGGTGTGTTTTAAGCTCTTTTGAGATACAAAAAGAGCAGATCAGGCCTAACAAGGAAGCAGAGACGGGAGGAGACAGGTATCAAGCCACATGCATATCCTAAAGAACCGGGGAATAGAAGCAGAAAAGAGATAAGAACCTTCCCCCAGGGCCAACAGAGAGAAGGAGCTGGCATCTTGAGCTTCAATTGTTGTTGCTTTGTTACTCATAGCTGACCCTATAAATTCAGAGGCTATAAATTGCTCCATATCATATCACTAAGCCACTAGTGATGTATAAACTATTAGCTTCCTAAAATGTGAGAAAATAAATTTTGTTTTGTGAAAATCAACTACTTTTGATATTTCCGTTACAGCATCTCTAGGTCACTAAGACAGTCTTTCACCCACTACTGTGCTCGCTGCTCTGCTGCCTCCTTCTCCCTCCCTCAGGTGGTGGCAGGAATCCCATCCCTAACTCACAAAAGTGTACAGGGCCGTGGAGTCATCCAGGAACTGCTCGGCCAGATCCCCAGAGCGCATGGCTCCCAGGCTCCGGGCACCAACAGGGCTGAGGAAGTTCTCCTCCATAAGCATGGAGGCCAGGGTCACTGCCTCCAGACGGCTGGCCGCGAAGCTGTTGGAGATGAGCCAGTCCACCAGGGAGGAGCCTGCGTCAGGGCATGGACAGTGCCAGTCAGACAAGAGGCCTCCTCAAGGTGCCTGGCTGTGATCTCCATGACCTTGACCTCATGGGCAGGCTCTGAGTTCTACTCAAAAGCAGCCTGAAGGCCACCCCTGCTGCCCAGAAATATGGCCATGGCCAGTGTCATCTCATGCAGGTCATTTGGTCAGTCAGCAGGCAAGTCTTGTCTCAACATCGGCGAGTCAAGCCCAAGGCTGAACCCTGCAGCACGCCTCGGTGGATCCCACCCTCACCGTGAGAGGGACGAGCTCACCTATGAAGGTCTTTTTGTAGGTGCTTCCCTGCTCCATGTTGGGGCATGGCCGGATCCCACTGCTGCTGTCATGCATCTTGTCCACAATGCGACTACACAGAAGGAAACAAAAGGGAGGGGACCTTCACAACACGGACAGGTGTAAGGCAGGGTCCAAGAGTCACCACTAAGGATATAAAGCAAGTGACAGATGGGTGGTATTCATACCAAGCTGCTGCTGTTGTTAGGTGCTGTCAAGTATGACTCACAGCGAACCCATGAACAACAGATCTGAACCTTGTCCTATCCTGTGCCAGCCTCACACTTCCTGACACACTTGAGTCCATGGGTACAGCCACTCAGCCAATCCATCTGGTTGAGGGTCTTCTCTTTAGCTGTCCCTCCACCTTTCCAAGCATGATGCCCCTCACTTAGGAATAGCCTCTTGTAACAATACACCTTGATATCTGAGAAGAAGCTTTGCCGTCTTTGCCTCTAAGGAGCACAATGGCTGTACTTTCTCGAAGATTTGAAAAGAGGGGAGCATTCAATTACACACTGGAATTTGAGAGGTAGGATGAGATTTATTTTCTTTTGCTTGGCTAAGTGCTCTGATATTTCTTTCCTAAATAAGTACTACTTCTGTAATAAGACTAAAGAGCTGTTCACACTGTGTGGGAACTCCTCGTTTCTCAGTGATCTACCGCTCCAACTAATTCTTGATGCTTCACCTGACTCACCCACTGCAGCTCCACCCCATGCTCGTTGTGATGTAGAAGGACCGTAGGCCCACAGAGCAAAACCCCAGTGGCTGCTAGGAGCTCTTCTTGAAACTCATATCCCATCTTTGCTGCCAGTTGTTTCATTTTCCTCGGATCCACAATCAGCACCCAAGAAAACAGGAGTCAAGAAATCAAAGGACATGCTGCCTTGGGTAAATCTGCTGCCAAGGACCAAAGTTCTAGTGAGCAACAATGTCAGTTTGAAGACTGATCTGATCCAAGCCACGGTCTTTTCAATGACTTCCTACGCATCTGAAAGTTGGACAATGACTAAGGATGACGGGAGAGGAGTCATTGCCTTTGGGTTGTAATGTTGGAGAAAACGGCTGAATATCCTACAGACTGCCAAAAGAACAACAGCAAAAGAAATGTCTTGGTGCAAGCACAACCAAGGTGCTCATTAGAGGCAAGGATGATGAAACTTCATCTTACAGACTTTGGGACTGGCCTTTGGAAACAAACAGCCTGTTGGAAAAGGTGGAGAAAGAGAAGAAGACTCTCAACAAGGTGAATTCTCAACAAGGGGCTGTAACAACAGGCTCGAGCAGATCAGCTCGTGGGAATAGTGCGCGACAGGGCCACGTTCAGATAAGGTTGCTCCGAGTCGTAGTTGACTTGATGGTAACTAATAACAACAACATGCCACATCTTTGATGGGTTCCCAGGTTCTGCTGCTTGGGGGGCTAGGGAGCATTTTCTGCAGCAGGGCTGTCAATATGAACTCCTTCCATCTATCCTCACTTCACAGTGTCACCTCTACCACTGAGCTGCCTTCCTTCTGTTCTATGGGGCAATGATGGTTACCATCAGATCCTTTTTCATTTTTTTATGTCTGTGCTTAGGCTGGAAGCCCCCTGACAGGAGACCATCTTTATTTCTATTTGCATGTCATGATCATTTAGCCCATGTAGTAGACATCCTATAAGCATGCCTTGGAAGAATGAAGGGAGCACCCCCTATAGAGCAAGAAGCAATGGCTACCGGAACACATAATTTTTACCACCAGGTTAATAGTAAGACTTAGGACTTGGTCAGTGAGCACAGCTCTGAACACTGGGACTCAAAGGTATCTTAAGTCACTGAGGTGAACACGGGCAGCAGAGAACCTGGGAAGGTTGCGTAGGGGTGTGTGGTGGTGTTGTGTGTGGTGAGTTGTAACCAACCAATAGTTCATCCTCCAGTAGGATTTCAGAGGCAGTTAATACCACAGGAAGAGACTGCCTATCCTTCTCCTGTGGAGCAGCTGGTGGATTAGAACCACATACCTTTGGGATTACAGCACAGTTTCTTACCACGAGGCCACCAGAGCTCTTGAAATACATAATAGACAAACACTGTCTGCTAAACATGCGTAGTGATGGGTGTAGTCCCCTCCACTTGTCCAAATTTCTACTTCTTATTCTACTTTTCTGCCTGTGTATCTGATTATAGATTGATGTTCATTATTGTTAATATTGCAGTACTGATTATGCAATAGTGGTTACATAAAAATTGCCTTCTGCACCTCTCTGTGTTTTCTGTCAATAAAGGTAAACACTATTACATACTCAATCAGCAGAGTGAACAGTAGAAGACCCAGAAGCATGAAAGTGATGTCAGTCAGGCCCGTGTAGCTGTCCCTCCTTGTCCACTCCCGTCCCCCCGAAAGACAGGGCTGTAGCAGAGACCAGTATCAGGAAGGCAGGGGCTGCTGGAGCACTCACTGCAGGCTGATGTGAGGTGGCAGCTTGAAGGAGTTTCTCTGTATGTGGAGTTGCTGGACCTTCCCTGGCTGCCCGGCGTGAATAGCTCCTGTTATCTCAAAGGCCCAAGCATCCCTCTCCTCTCGAGAACAGGCCTCCAGGAAGTACTCCGTGGATGTGCGAGTCTTCAGCTTAATGAGCAGCTGTGAGGTGGGAGAGACAGCCAGTCAGACCAGCATTAAAAGGGGCAGGACAGGTGAAAGAGCACTGGCCAGCACAAATCCGGGGCACACAGCAAGTTGAGGTGGATGTGTAGTCTACAAGATGGCAAGACCCTTTCTTCTTGGGCCAGGGACCATGCTTAGTTCTCAAGTCAGTCTTTCTGAAGGAGTTTTCATCAGTCCCTTCTCTCATTCAAACCCTTCAATGGCTCCTCATCAATTTCCCACTAATCTCTTAATGATTTCCCTTTCACCACACTGGAGGTCCTTATTCCCAGATTCCACCCTCACCTCCTTTTCACTTCTGCTGAGGATGTTTCACAAATGCCTGCTCCCTCCTCTCAGACCCTCACACAAATCTCTTTTATTATGACCAAGCCAAGAGCTCTTCTTCCTCCTTTTCAAGAATAATGTTCTTAGGGAGCTCTGGTGGCCTAGTGGCAAGAAGCTGCACTGCAATCCCAGAGATGCACGGTTCAAATCCACTAGATACTCTGCTGGAGAAGGAGGGGCAATCTCCTGTACCAGTCAGATCCGATCTGACGATAGACACACACACACACACACACAGAGAGAATAATGTTCTCTGCAACTAATAACATTCGTCCCATCATTTGAAACTCTCATTATTTTTCAGTTAGCCATTGCTTTCTTAATAAAATTATCAGCTCCATGAAGAAACCCTCTTACTACCGTCATGTTTGATGACTCCTTGTCTAGCAAATTTCTTGTCACATGATCCTTCAACAAATGATTGATGGATTCAGATATTTCTTTGAGAATAGAGTTGAAGTCACCTCTGGAAGATGTACAGCTCAAGGGGTGAAAGTAATGTCAAACCCCGAGATGTTGTTGTTGTTGTTGTTATGTGCCATCGAGTCGCCTGCGACTCATAGCGACTCTGTGTAGAACAGTCCTAAACTCTGCCCTATCCTGTGCCAATCTCACCATCTTTGACACACCTAATCCCATTACCTCAGTCACTCCATAGCAATACTTAATTTATACTAGACTCCCCAGCTTATTTACAGGGTGTTTTAATGAGCCTTGCCATCCTAATGAGAGATCACATGAGAGATAATCAGATGTAATTTTCTATCTTTTTTTTTTTTAAGCTGAGGACTAAGCCTTAGAGAGGTTCAACCACTGGCTAAGGTCACCTACCTGGATAGTGGTAGAACCAGGATTTGAATCTAGATTTCCCAACTATAAATATGAGTTTTCCCCTTTCCCCAATTCACCTTCAATCATAAAGGAAGCCTGGAGTAGAAGGATCTGGAAGCAGGAAGGAGCTGGGAAGGGGGGTGTCACTTACAGGCCGGTTTTCATACTCCAGGCAGGGGCAGGTGATGGTACAGCCATCCAGGAGGATGCGGCCCTTGGGAGGGGTCACTTTCCGTCCTCCCTCCAGCTTGTAGTACAGCAGCGTGTTCTGCCTGAGGATGAACCATCGAGCTTTCCAGTTGTGGACGATGTGACCCTGCAGAGAGACAGGCAGTCAAAAAGCCCTGGCGGGAGAGAATTATTTGAAAGGAATATATGAATAGGCATTATATGTAAGACAACGGTCCAGAACAAGAGGTACATTGCAAAGAGCACTGCGGGAGGGGGCGGAGAAGGAGGAGAGGAAATTGTGAAATAGTGAATGAATGCTAAGGAATAAAAGAAAAAAGAAAGTCAACTTGGGACGGGAAGGGAAGAGGAGGGAGGACAATGAAAGAATAAAAATCCAATTTTTTTGTAAACTTTCATTAAAATCACAACTAAAATTTTAAAAAAAATTAAAGCCCTATTGTGAGCTGTCCAGGTGGTTAGGGTCCACAGGGAGAGGTGTCCATGAAACAAGGAAATCTGCAACAAGGGAGGAAATATTACTTTTATCTCTTCATCATCTCTTGTCTGTATGTGACAGAGATCTTTGGAATTGACCTTCTAATTCCTATATGGCCTTTGCATGGTTGTAATCTTGAGAGAAATGGAAAAAATAAAACCCCAAATCTCTTGCCATTTAGTCAACTCTGACACATAGTAGCCCCCCAGGATTGAATAAAACTACCCCACAAGATTTCCAAGGCTGGAATCTTAGGGGAGTCGACTGTCACATCTTTCTCCATGGAGTAGCTGGTGGGTTTGAATTACTGACCTTTCAGTTAGCAGTCAAATGCTTAAACATTGTACCATCAGCCCCCTTTGCAAAAAAAGGAAAGACAGTCACCCTTGTATAAAGTACCTGCCACTGGAAATAGTCGTTGCTAACCTTCCTTCCTTCCTTCCTTCCTTCCTTCCTTCCTTCCTTCCTTCCTTCCTTCCTTCCTCTCTCTCTCTCTCTCTCTCTCTCTC